GGAGAGGGAGAATGTGGTGGTTGCTGCTGCTGGGCCAGCCAAGGCCACATGGGAGGCCCAGGTTCGATTCCCAGCCCGCCTTATAAAGCTGGGTACAGTGGTGCATGCCTATGTCTTCAGCCATTTGGGAGGCTGAGATGGGAGGATAGTGACAGATCAAGACCCTGTCTCAAAGATCACGCGCCCTCCCTCAAACATGCCTGCAGGAAAACACTGGCTGCATGCACCTTAGCCCACTAAGGTTTGAAGGGTTTGAAGCTGAGGGACCAGGAAGATAAAATGCATGTGACCATCAATGCTGAGAGGGTAGGCGCTTAGGGAAGCTGTCCAAGCGCAGTGCCTTTCAACTTGCTTTGTCAAGCCAGATGACCCAGACCTGCAGCTCGGCCCCCACCACCCCAGGTCATGGCAGCACCAGCTCGGACCTGCACATCGCCCTTCAGATCCCCCTCCGCTGTGGGCTGCAGTCCTATCGAGGGTGTTCTCCCTGGGCCTCTTGAAGTGCTTTGCAGATGTTCCCAGGGACCCCAGAACATTCAGAGATGTGGGAAGGCACTAGGCAAGCCAAAAGCAGAACATGGGGGGAAAGTCACAGGGAAGGCTCTGGGCAGCAGGCCTTTCTCCTTAGCCCCTTCCTGCTCACCCCCGGAAAAGCAGGCCTGGTCATTGGGCCAGAGTGTAAGGTTTGGAGTGCTCTCCCAGCCTTTAGGAGCTCCCCCCAGAGCAGCTCACAGAGAACCCTTTCCTGCTTCCAGGTGAGCGCAGGGTCTTGGGAGGGAACTGAGTAGGCTCTGTAGGGTGGGGAGTGTGCCTCGTGCCCCTCTGGGCTCTCAGGGCCCTCTGATCTGGCCCTGAGAGCCCAGCCTCCCCAATTCTCCTTCAGGCTTGAAGGGTGTCTTTCTGGCTGTGGCCTTTGCGGCCGGGCCCAGGCTCTCACGGACACTGATGTGGACTAACGAGCTTTAGAAAACTTGCTGGAGACTTGGAGCGAGGCAGGACAGGGCCTGCACTTTTCTTAGGGGATCAAGTTCCAGACTGAGCAGCTAGGAGAAAGAGCCTGTGTCAAAACCACCCTTGGTCACCCTTCCATCACCCTACCCTAGAGCTGCTAGTCTTTTTGCAAGTTGAAGTTTGAGAACCTCTGAGCGCCCATAAAGGAGAGAAGCAGTATGCGGTGTCTGGGCTTGCAAGCAGGCAAGTCAGAACATTGCTAGGGCAGGGTGGGATGCCAGCAGAAATCAGCTACACTTTTTAGAAATTTACTGGTAACTCGATCCAGGAGTGCGTGCTAGAATTACACTCTGAAGAGCCTTTGGCCCTCCGGGATTACTACTCCCTAAACTAGGAAAAGAACACCCTGCTTTCCTTTTCTCATATGCTGTTGGCATCTCCTAGGGGTTGGCAAACGACAGCTTGTGGGCCGAATCTGGCCCCCTGCCTGTTTGGGTAAATAAAGTTTTATTGAAACATGCCCACACCCATTTGCTTATATATTGCCTGTGACTGTTTTCCTGTTACGATGGTAGACGGTCAGAGAGCCTGCACAGCCCAACAAACTGAAAACACCGTCAGGACCTTCACAGAAAAAGGTTGTCAATCCCTGGTATAGCCTCTTTTTATATCCACAGCCATTTTTATTAGAATATTTACAAGGAGGTCTGCAAAAAGTTCATGGAAAATGTGTATTCTGACAAAAAAAAAAAATGCATGGATTTCCAGGTTTTTTGCACCGAAATCAGTTCATACTTTAATCCCATTATACCACGAACTTTTTGAAGTCCCTTCCTGTCTTCTTCTTGCCTTTCCTGCTTCCAGGTGAGCGCAGGGTCTTGGGAGGGAACTGAGTAGGCTCTGTAGGGTGGGGAGTGTGCCTCGTGCCCCTCTGGGCTCTCAGGGCCCTCTGATCTGGCCCTGAGAGCCCAGCCTCCCCAATTCTCCTTCAGGCTTGAAGGGTGTCTTTCTGGCTGTGGCCTTTGCGGCCGGGCCCAGGCTCTCACGGACACTGATGTGGACTAACGAGCTTTAGAAAACTTGCTGGAGACTTGGAGCGAGGCAGGACAGGGCCTGCACTTTTCTTAGGGGATCAAGTTCCAGACTGAGCAGCTAGGAGAAAGAGCCTGTGTCAAAACCACCCTTGGTCACCCTTCCATCACCCTACCCTAGAGCTGCTAGTCTTTTTGCAAGTTGAAGTTTGAGAACCTCTGAGCGCCCATAAAGGAGAGAAGCAGTATGCGGTGTCTGGGCTTGCAAGCAGGCAAGTCAGAACATTGCTAGGGCAGGGTGGGATGCCAGCAGAAATCAGCTACACTTTTTAGAAATTTACTGGTAACTCGATCCAGGAGTGCGTGCTAGAATTACACTCTGAAGAGCCTTTGGCCCTCCGGGATTACTACTCCCTAAACTAGGAAAAGAACACCCTGCTTTCCTTTTCTCATATGCTGTTGGCATCTCCTAGGGGTTGGCAAACGACAGCTTGTGGGCCGAATCTGGCCCCCTGCCTGTTTGGGTAAATAAAGTTTTATTGAAACATGCCCACACCCATTTGCTTATATATTGCCTGTGACTGTTTTCCTGTTACGATGGTAGACGGTCAGAGAGCCTGCACAGCCCAACAAACTGAAAACACCGTCAGGACCTTCACAGAAAAAGGTTGTCAATCCCTGGTATAGCCTCTTTTTATATCCACAGCCATTTTTATTAGAATATTTACAAGGAGGTCTGCAAAAAGTTCATGGAAAATGTGTATTCTGACAAAAAAAAAATGCATGGATTTCCAGGTTTTTTGCACCGAAATCAGTTCATACTTTAATCCCATTATACCACGAACTTTTTGAAGTCCCTTCCTGTCTTCTTCTTGAGTTATTATTTCTCTTTCTGTATAAGTGACTTTGTTATCGATGTTGGGACTATTGCATCGTATTTCTTTTCTGGCGTTTTGAAAGTATGTCATTTTCATATACTTCAAATGTGTCCCTCTTTCCTTTTCTGGCTGCAGCCTCAGCCTGAGCTTGCGGACACATCCCGCATGGTCTTTCCAGCAGGCACCGCCCTCTCAGAGTGTCGGGGCAGACTGACTGCCGCTGGCCTTAGTTCTGTTCCGACAAAGCGCTGCTTTCTCAGGCTGTGTGCTGGGGCTGCACAGGGCTGGGCGCCCGCCGTGCAGTGCTAGTTCTCACACGCTCCTTACGGGCAGGGAAACAGAGCCAGGGAGTCGCTGGCTGGTGAAGGCGATTGGAATTCGAACCCAGGCCCCATTTTGTTCATCCAGACGCTGTACGGTCCACACGACTGGCAAGAACCTTTACTGTGAAGTGCACTCTTCATTGCCTTTCTCTGGGGACCTCAGGGTCTTTTGCATGAAGTCATGAAAAGGCGAGGGCAGGCCATGCTTGGTTAAGAGCAGGGTGAGGCCAAGCGGCATGTGGTTAGGCTGGTGCTCTGCACTTTGTAGAGAGGAAGGCTCCCGACACAGCAGCCCGGCCACCCTCCACCCCCAGGTGATGAGAGTATCAGCCGCCCTCAACCATGTGACCTAAGCCGACAGTGCCAGTCCTGTGGTGGGCTAAGGTGCATGCATAAATTAGCACCTTAGCTGCTAGGCAGATACAGTGGGGTGCTTGCTTCCAGAGGGAGTGAGGGTTCCATGGCAGGATTTGGGGGTGGCTTCCTGGAAGAGGTGCTGGGTTTAGACAAGGGGACCTTGGAGACCTGGATGTGGCCCGACCTGGGAAGAAGGAAAGGGGCTGGCACAGGGTAGTGCTCAGACTCCTGCTGGATGAAGGAGAAACTGATGGCAAAGGTCCTGGAGGGTGGCGCAGAGCTCAGAGTCAGCCTTGGGCCGAGCCCAGTGCTGACAGTGTGACCAGAAGGTTCTGGTCGCTCACTAGGACATGTTTGTGAGGCACTATCTCAGGGCCAGGAGTATGGAGGGGAACAGAGAGCAGAAAGGGGGCCCTAGACAGCGAACTGCCAGGAACTAACCCACAGGAGAGGGAAGGGGACCAAGCACTGGTGGGTGGGTGGCCACTGCAATGCTTTGCAGGGAGACTTGAACAGTGTGATGCACAAAGAAAAACATGGGAATGTGGTTGGAGTGCAGGGCATGGGGTCTCTGGGGGGCTCGGGGCAGCAGGAGGACAGACCCAGAGCAGGGTTTTGGCTAGGGAGACCTTACACACATAAAGGGCAGAGTGAGGAGGCCACACAGGACCTAAGGAGAAGGGAGTGGCCAGGCTGAGCGGGGGCAGCCCCTCCCCTAAAGGGGACGAGAGAAGGGAGCAACACCACAGTGGGCACCATGGGCTTGTTTCTGAAAGCAGGGGCTCCTCCCCTTCACCCAAGTCTTCGAGTCTGCAAACGTGGGCCCTCCCTGCAGGCAGGGGGTGAGTCTGGATGGAGTCCATGAGCAGAGACCACCCCCCCCACAACTTGGAGTTGGGAACCCAACTCCATTCAGTCACCTCTGCCCAGCTGGCATTTCTGTTCTAGAAGTTTCTTTTTGTTCATAACCAGGGAAGCAAGCACTGAAGTTTCAGGAAGAGAAAGTTTCTGCAGTGAGAAGTGTCAGTGGGGTTTGAGCTTCAGGCCACCTCGCCACCCCCAGCGGCAAGGAGGTCTAAGTGGACGGCGTTGGCTGAATTTTCCAGACATGACCATTGTTTCTACCTGAGGGGAGCTTTCAGAAAATGGAGCGTTTTCATTCGAAGGGAGGGAAAAACCACTTCTGCCTACTTGAAAATCCCACCTCCCATCCACTAACCGGGCCCCAATTCTGGGTTCTGAGAAGAGAAAGGAACCCACCCTTTAGTGAGGGCTGGGGTATCAAAAGCTCTGCCTACCGGCTACTTTTAGGGAGCTGGGACTGTGGAAAGTTTCCATTGAAGATCGACCTCTCTCATTTCCTAGGTTGAGAAAACAGGAAGCCCTTCAGAATCCGGGCTTTGAAAAGCTTCGCATGAAGCTGCCCTGACCCTGTCTTCCCTGGCATTCTGCTTTCTCTGTATCTGCCCCGCAGAGCACCGTCAGCTTACTAAGCCCTGGCAGGGATCACGGAGGGCTGGGGCTGGGGCTTCCTTTGACTTCTAGTTTAGGGCCCCTGGGGCTGCACTGGTCCCTGGTACTCAGTAGGTTCAGTTAGTGCTGAAGATCTGACCTCTTCCTCTGAGTTCCCATTAATGGATTCATTTCTACACTTTGGAAATGGTTGCTATTGGAATGCATGTGTTTTCATCCATTAACTACATCATAATCTGATACATACAAACTTAGACAAACCGACACCTGCATACATTGGGCACTGGGATCACGTCTTCACTTGTATGATCTCATTCAAGTTTCTCCATGACCGACGAGGTAGGTGGTATTTTCGACACAGTTTACAGAATGGTTATGTCACTAAGGCAAGGTTTGCTGAGCACGGAAGCAGTGCAGGGGGCTTCTAACCCTGGCTGTCTGGCTTTGGAACTGGGACGCTTGACTTCACCTTGCACGTGTTTTCAGCATGCACCTGGAAAGTACGGAGGTGTTCCTGACTTTCTGGCACGAAACAAAAGTCTGCTGGTTCGAAGCAAGCACTGAGCTAAGAGTCTGACGCCAAGTGTTGACTAGCATGGCTGACAGCACGGAGCGTCCCCGCCAGGCGCCGTGCAGATCTTACTGCCTCACATCCTCAAAGCAGCCCTAAAAGGTCCACGTGCCGCTGAGAAACTGAGGCCCAGAGTGGTCAAGTCGCACAGCTGGTTAGGGAGGGAGCCGAAGTCAAGTCCAGTGAATCCAGCTCTTTAAACCTGCTGGGACCCCTTGCCCTGTGGTTAGGGAGGTCCCCAACACTCCAGGCAGGGGCTGTTCACGAGAAAAGCACCCAAGACCTGCGAGGGCCCAACTTGAACAGGGGGAGACTTTGGGTGGCTTTTTTTTTTTTTTTTTTTTGAGAGAGATTTTCGCTACTTGCCAGCCAGACAGAGAGAGACATAGAGACAGAAAGCGAGAAATCACCCCCCCAGAGGGGATGGTCACACTGCAAACCCTTTCCCTTCGTTCTCCTCTCGGGATCTTGGGCACACACGCACATGCTCCCGGAGTGAGTTTTAAGCCACCAGGTCCGGGACGTGAACTGCGGTCGACTATGTGGGAGTCCAGTGACATAGCCATTATACTAACCGCTAGTTCCCTCGGCTCTTATACACTCAGCCCTCACTGCCCCTTTCCATCACTCTAACTTTAGGATAAAGCCAGGATGAGAAGCGAGGATGCAGAGGTTGGGGGAAGAATTCAGTGTCAGAACAAGGAAAGGGGAGGTTCACCTGCCTTTGATGGGACCCGCCAAAGGGATCTGCCTCCTCTCCCCTTTACCCCAGGACCAGAGAGCATCAACCAGGTGCAAAACCTAAAGTTAACATGCACCTTAGGGAATGCGCACCTTCGGGAATGCCAAGGTGTGTGGGCTGCCAGGGGTCGTAACTTATTTCAAAGAATACTGAAGGAAGGCTTTTTGTAAGACCTGCTGTTCTAAAATCTCCCAGACTGATTCTAGTAACCAGGGCCTTAGCGAAGTGGTTGGCATTGCCCCGCTAGGAACCCCGCGAGTACTTTTGGTGTAGCAGCCGGGGGAAGAAAAGTGGCTGGGCTTCCCAGAGCCTCTCTCTGCTCTCTCGAGGGGGCCTTCCTAGTTCTGAAGACACGTGATACTTTCCCAGTGGGGGAAAATTTCATGATTGTGCCAAAAAAAAAAAAAAAGCAATTATATTTAAATTGCAATCTTTATGGTATTTCTATTTGCTTTCTTTTTAAAGGCGTCTCTTTGGAGAACTGTGCATTTTATGAATGAGGAAGAACTGTGTTTTGTCAGACCTAATCATGTATGAGTTTGTGGGAGGATGGAATTAAACATGCAAGTTGATTTTGGTGTTGCCCTTCATAGTACACATTTTCCATGAACTTTTGGAAGACTCCCCCCCCTTTGCGATAGGTGTTTTCTGGGCATCGTAATAACGAAGGTAGTTTCCTACACCACAGAGCCGTGAGTGCGGTCAGTAAAATCCAGAAGGGGAGGAAGTTATTTGACACATACCAAGCTGCCCAAAACCCATTTCTGCCAAAGATTGAAAAAAAAAGTTCCCATTTGAATGATTTTCACAAACAGGTCTGTAATCAAGTAATACTGTCCAGAAAAAAAACCTACAACGCAAGGCATTTCTTACAGTAAAAAGTTACATACGAAGAACAAAGACGTGTATTTTAAACGGCGCCTGCGGTGCTAGAAAGCTGACCGATGCGTGTTTTCCGTGCCCGCTCACTCGCTCCTCTTCTCTCTCTCTCTCTCCCCCTCTTTTGTAGTCAATGAAATTATCAGGAAGGAGTTTTCAGGACCTCCTACCAGAAATCAGACGTAGAAGAAGCCATTATAGCAAGACACCTTCCGTACCCGACCCCTCGGAGCTTCCTCCTGCCCCTCACCTCTGTCTCCTTTACTGCTCGTCTCCCAGCCCGGAGTCCACACCAGGCGTAAAGCTGACCCTCGATTAAGGAGCGCGCACCTCTCTGTCCGCACCAGAGAGGACGCTCCTCCTTTCATTTTGGTTTTAAATCCCAAAGAGCATTCCGGTTGATCTCAGTGCTGTCCCTCTGAATATTAAGTGCCTGCTGACCAAAACCACATTCTCAACAAGACAGGACGCTGGCGTGCCGCTGAGAACCGAGTGACGAGCTCGGGGGACGGGCTGGGGGACAGAAGAGGTTGGCACCGAGATTAAACCCCAGCCCTTGCATTCGTTTTTCCAGGTCACAACTACAGCTCCTGTACCTTTTGAAGGAAAGGAGTTCTCAGACAGAGCGACCAAAGGACTGTAGCCTGGAAGACCCTGCTTACAGGCTGAAGTCGCCCAGGACCTCGTTGGCAGGGCCAGAAACTGAACCATCGTCCTTAGGGCTCGCCTGGCTGGGCCACTGCTAAATGCTTTATTTTCTATTTTTTTTTTTTCATTCCAAAACAAAACTGTCCTGCCTAGACAAGATCACCTGTTAAAACTTTTCCGTGTTAAGTCATGACGTGTGCACATGTGTGTGATGCTAAGTCTCCTTTTTCTCTGCTTCAAAAAGCTGATGAAGAGGGCTAAAGTCGAGCCCTTGTGACCATCTGCCATCTCCCCCGGCAGCCGCGGCTGAGGCCGGTGCTGATGCAGTCTCCCTAGGTGGGAGGGTGGCCCAGGCTCCAGAGCAGCTGCCTGTTCACAGCACACTCCAGCAGCAGCTCTGCAAGGTGCCTGCTTCCTGCCTCTCCTAACAGAGTTAAGAAGACTTTCAAACATATGCATTGAATTGTGAGGAGGAATACCAGAGGGCTAAAGCAACTTCCCCCCAAATGCAGGTATTTTTGTTAAGTAAAGCAACCTAAATGCTTCTGTAAATGAGTTTCCACCAGTGCAGAGAAAAGGGGCTGAATTCCCTAAGCTCTCTGCCTCAGCCAAAGTGGGTCTGCAAAACCCAGGATTTGGCCCCGAAGTTCACTGGTCATTTTTACCGGAACTCATCTGAACTTCCCTGGCCTCAACATTGGCCCTGCAGACCTCTCTCTGCATCAGCAGAGTGTCCTCCCAGACACCCATCTAAGCACTCCAGCCTGAGTTTGAGCCTTGCTCAGCCCAGTGGTGTGTTAGCTCTGATTTCTCCCAGCTGTTCCTCTCTAGGAGTAAGAACACCCATGCCCTCAATAGTCTTTTTTCCCCAATTGGTGCAATTTTTGCAAACAAAACCCTCAAAGTTCTTGACAGGGGAGTTCTAATCGCACCGACTGTTTCTATTTATCTTTCTTGTGGACACCCCAGGACATGCTGGGAATTCATTTTTAGCCTTTTACTTGTTTCCCTAGCAATCAACAGCAAAGTGGAGATTTTCTTACTCCAGTACTCATGAAAAGACTGTCCCTATAAGGATTTCTCAGTCTAGTCTGCTAGGCCTGAGCCCCAAGAAAGAGTCATGGCTGTTAAATGCCCACTGTGGGCGGTCCGAGACCTGGTTTTCTCGTCAGGGTTATGCAAAGGTCAAACCTTCCTGAGAGCAGGACCAGGTGTGTTTGGCGCTCCGGATGGAAGCCAGAGTGCTCAGATTTGGGTCTGTGCGCCCACATGTATGTAACCTTCTAGTTACTGCCTAGCATCGATTTCCCCTTTACAACAGGGGCCTTTTATCCACTCACTGCAGGCACAGACTTCAGCAAAATTCTCTTTGAAACAAATGGAATGCCAGTAAGAAGTTGACCGCCAACGCAGAGCTTCTGGGATGCTAGAAACTTCCTCATTAACAAAGAAACTTCCTTCTATTAGCAGCTTTACCTAAAGACTTTTCTGTCCAGCAGTGTTGACTTTACCGGCGAAGAGTTCAGCATATCTAAGTGAAGCGTGTCTGTGAGTGATTTGTTCTCACTCAGTCTGGCTAGAAGCCATTTTTTGCACATCAGGGGATTTGGCCTTTCCTCAGTTATCTGAATGTTTTGCCCAAGTGCCTTCCTGCCATTGTAGCAGAGTAGCTCCGCTTCCTTGTCCACGGGGTGAAAAAGGACTAATGCATTTTCCGTCCATCTTCTAACCGTTTTAGCAAAGAGGGCCTCCCAGTAGCTCAAACTCCTGAATGTATATATGAATGTGTGTGTATGTATAATTACATGCACAAACCCCTCTTATTCTGAGACATCTTAGCTGGATATTGTAGGAAGCCCTTATTCTGAGACATCTTAGCTGGATACTTTAGGAAGCCCTTTCATGAAAAGCTATCCTAAATAGCAAGGGAAAGAAAAAGAGAAGCACTAGCTTTGAATCATGAACAGACAAGAGAAAGTATACTAGGAACAGAATGACTCTCAAGAAAGTTTTGTCAGTTACCAATGCCAAGAGGAAACTTTGCCAAGAGTAACTGCTCATGAGATATTTTCAGTATGGGAAGAGGCAATAAGATACTTTAAGAGAAGGAAGTAGGGGTTTCTGAAAGATAAAGGTGGATGTGTTGTACGTGTGTTAAAGGGATCTAGTTAAGTCAAGGTTTGCACTTGCTACATCCAAGTTCATGTAAATAGGTGCGCTCTGACAGATTGACCGTGTTGCTGAATGTAGTGTATTTCCAAAGTCTGACAGTCTTCCTTATTGTACAAAAATACTGCTGCTTAATAATATACATAGCAATCCAAATTCATTAGTATGTTATTAAATTTTATTTTCCTACCTGTATTTTTATGCTTTTTATCTGTCCTCCAAATATTACACCCCTGTTGGAATTAGAAAATATTTATAAATGGTCAGAAATCTTTTTAAGTGTCTCTTTTTACATATATGTTTTTTTTTTCTTAAGAGAAATGATGTATTCTTTAAAAATTTGTTAATTGTTCCTAAGAACTAACAACCCCCAAACCAAAAAAATCCCAGCCCACCTCAGAGCTTGTTAGCTGTCACCCATCTACTAGAAAAAGGCATCTCAGGAAGAGTAGGAAGAGGAGGAGGAGGTGGCCTTGTAGAGAGAAGAACCCTCATTTTGTTGCTTAAGAATGATGCTAACCTCCTTCAGTCCTGAGCCTGAATCTTGTTGTGGAAAATCCTATTGCAAAGTGTCTATATCCCCCCCACAACAAGTGATCAATAGGTGATTTTTATTTAAAGCAACAATAAAACTGGTAATGTTGTAATGAGATTTTTTTTAAAAGGTCATTTTCATAGAATCCTACATGTAGGCTAACATTTCCAGAGCTTATCAACTTTAAATCCTGGTAGACAACCCCCCCAAATGCATTATCCAAAGGATATCCATAGTTTTATAGCATGGAGACAGCCAAGAATGAATTGAGTTGATTCCTTCCAAGAACTATATTGCATTTCTTGTTTATATCCAGTAGCCAAGACATCTGTCTATACAAGCCAGCTTTGGACAGGCTGGAAGCTGTCAGATTTAGGCAGATCGGAAGGTAGTGTGTTCTAATTGTCATCCTGGACTGAAATGAGACTGCATTTGTTTATTTTCATGTAAAAATAAAAATACTTTCCAAGTGCTTTCTATTGTTCAGAATTGAAAAAAAAATGTCAGGAGTCTGCCTAATAACTATTCGTTTCACGTTTACAAGAGGCACAGGAGTGGTGACGTTCTTGACAGGCTGGGGTAACTTTTCCCCAACTCCTCTTCTGGAGGGACAATCCTTTAGCAGGGACCCAACATATTTTGACCTTGGGTCTCTCAAGATTGGGACCTGGGCATTAAGGCTCATAGAGTCAAGCTAGCCAGTTGCATGAGCAGAGTTTTCCTACATTCCAACAAAAAGCTTAAGGAAAAGGATCACATAAAACAGTGATTGCAAACACCAATTTCCCTCCACTTTCCTAAGTGCCTTCAGACAAAGCCACTTACCTTGTTGACTTAACTTGGTTTGTTTAAAAACAGACGTTCCTGGAGGTTGGTGAATGGTGCTCCCTAAGCAAGCCCCTCTGAAAGTGAGGGGGAGTCCCGAGAGCAGGAGACAAGTATCAACGGCAGACAGGCATCAGTGGACATGAAGTCCTCCACCCGGGTCAGGGTCTGGGGGGCATGGGTGCACATGGTGTTGTTTCCATTAGAGCAGGTGCTTCCAGCATTTGGATTGGCCTAGACAGACTGAGACTAAGGCTGATGGGACCATAAGCTTCACATCCAGGACTTCTTGTCAAAGAAGCTCACTCACCCCTGTTGCCTCTACAACCCTCAGAGGAGAGAACAGGTCAAGAGTCCTAATACAATGCTCCAACAAATAGACGTCTCTCCCATGGGGTGGTGCTGGAAGACTTAGGTTTGGAAAATCTGTTAAAGGAATTTGAATACATCACATTCCTATGCAAAAAGTTTTTAATCTGCAGTTTAATGTAGTTTATTTTTGCTATATGTAAAGTATTTTTATACAGCTTGTATTATGATAGTTTAGCAATAAAATAGTTGAAAGCAACGGCTATTTGGTCTATCTTTTCTTCTCCAGAGCAAACATCCCCGTTACACTTTGGGTTCATGCAGCAAGGAACACTTTGTGGACATGTTCTGTGTGTATGTTATCCCTCCTCTCGGCCCTAAGGAGGTAGGCGCCATCCCGTCTTACAAGTAGCTCTGGGTCTCAGAAGATTCTTGCCCAAAGGGACAGAGCTGCAAAGGCAAATGGTTTGTCTGATTCTTCCCAACACAGCTCTGCTGTAACCGGTGCTTCTAGACCTCTTTTGAGGTGGCATCTTGGTCAAGCAGATTATGATGTCCACCTTACACCAGCTTTCGGAGGGCCCAAGAGCATTTGCAGCCACTGGGCTCAGCCATGCACTTGGAAGGCAAAAGCACTCCTCTCTGAACATCCCACAGAACTCCAAGATAAAGCAAAACAAGACCCCGAAACAAAAAGTGGAGAGTACCATTCACCATCAAATCCACCAGCAGAATTAGATGATATAAGTATTGGAACTTTCCAGCCACTTCCTCCTTACAACGGACTGTCACCCACTGTAGCTGAAGCACATAAGAGGTTCGGAAGTAATTAAGATAGACCGAGATTATAGTAATACTGTTCAACCTTCCTCCCACCTCACCTCTCAGTATTACCCTTAAACTTCAGGGAAATGGGGCCCCTGTCCCAAGCCGCAGCCCTGAGCTTGCAATGTCTTCCTGGGAAGTTTCTAGTACCCCTCCTGTGCTTGGAAGCCAGAAGTACACATGGGCAGGTTTCCCAAACCCAGACTGGATCCTGGTCCCTGGCAGCACCTGCCTTGCAATGTGCTTAGTTGCTCCCTCTGGTGGCTGAGACCAGCCAGTCCCCACTGCCCGCATCACACCCAGGCCTCTAAATGCGGCCCAGTTTCTAGACAAGCGTCCTGGTGGGATGGCCCCTGAAGCTGGTGTAGTACTTTTATCTTTGTGGGATCATGATATGGGCTACCAGAATGGTCTAACAGGCTGACCTGAGAATGACTCGAACTGCTTTTGTAAGCAGAAGCCCTGAAAAAAAAAAAAAAATCTGCTCAGGGCCACACACTCTAGGAGTGACACTGCCCTCTTGAGATGTTTGTCGTAGATATGTGTAACTGTTTTTCTTGTCATCAATGCACCATCTGAAACCCTTACACCGCCTCTCCTGAACAGAAAGCTTGAACCATCCTAATAAAGCAGAAGACAAGGGTAGAACTATACAGTCATTCAAAAAAAGTCTACGTTCTACGTGCGTATGTGAGCCACCCATGGTGAACACAAATTTGACGTGTGCCTCAGTTTCCCCAGTGTAAACAGGACAGGAGTCACCACCTCACAGGTCTCGAGCACTCAGTAAAGATGAACTACGGCTCTCATACCCATCGCTGGACAAACATCTCACAGTCACCCAGGGCTCATCAGTGAGTTGTTTGGGGACCTCATTATCCCCATTTCTGGAAGAAAATATTGAGAATTCTGACACTACAGCTGGAATTTTCTAACTATTGGGTCATCAGAAAATCATGGCCTATGTTCAGTGCTTTTCTGTGCACGATTGCATCATGAATTTTCTGGTGATCCAATAGATCAGAAAAGCCAGAAACTGGAGTTATTCCATTTTCAAATCCTGAAACAAAAATGGAAACAGACCCTGGGACAAGCTGAGTGACTGCAGATCTGGAAGCTCTGCTTGCTCGTGCAGTGGCCATGCTGTTGCAACCCAGGCAGGAGCAGCAGAACTCTAGGTAGTAACATGGGCATTCAGCAACGCGGGGAGACAGGAGCCGGCTCCTATGCCCCCTTCAGGTCAGAAGTCAAGAGGGGACTGGCTTCTTAGCAGGACCAGGTTGAAAATAAAATGAGACTGAGGACAAGGAGGTAGCAAGCCACAGAGACCTTTAAGAAATGAAAGTGAAGTCATTTCGTTTGTTTGAGGCAGCCCGATGGCCACGGTGAGGTACAGGGGACACGCTTGCTATAAACCTCATGACATTTTGTGGTACGGAGATGAACGAAGTTCGACCTGACTTTCTACAGACGGTCTCTCCCCCATCCTCCTAGTAAAATTCAGAAATTGAGTTTGGTAAATGGCCTAACGTGGGGTTACCCCCGAGGGGACAGAAACCCTGTCTTAGAATTCTCTCTTTTCTTTGGAGAGGGTTTTGCTATAGGGTGCGTGCACTAGCCAGAAAGACAGAGACAGAAAGCGAGAAATCACCCCCCATGGGGGAATAGCCACGCTGCAATCCCTTCTCCTCCATTTTCCTCTCGGGATCTTGGGCACACATGCACATGCACCTGGCATGAGTTTAAGCCACTGGGTCCGGGACTCAAATCGCAGTTGACTACATGGGAGTCCAGCAACATAGCCATTATGCCAACTGCTGGTTCCCTCGTCCTAGAATTCTTGATGTACTCAAATGTCAGCTCTGGAAGTCTGCCCAGGACTCAAGACAAAGGATGGCCGTCCAACCTCTCTCCTGAGGGCTGCACTTTTGCACCCGTGGTCCTGAACTTTTCTTAGGGTGGAAGAGGGAGACCGCAGCCTTGTATAAACCCCCCGATGTGTCCTCACAAATTCTGCTGACTCTCAAAGCAACACGGAGTATCTTTGGAATGCCTAATGCCATTGGGGCAGTCCTTGAGGATAATCTCGGCACAGCGCAACCCCCCAGACTTGAAAACACAACACTCTGTGGGATTCCCGTAGACAGCCATGAGGCACTTCTGGCTCACACACCCCAGATTTCCTGACACCCCCTCTCCATGCCCTCCCTTCCCCATCACCTCAGGGCACATCACCTAAGCTGTTGCTCCGACCACAGCCTGGGAGTAACCCCAACCTCACGCTGTCCCCATTTCCTTGCCCATCAGCCATCCTGATTGCTGGGCTCACCCCCGAACCTGTCACATCTCGTGTCTGCATTCCCACTGAGTGGCCCTCACCTTGCCTGGATGACAGAGCAAGAACTATCCTCATGCATTCCCACCCTCCCTGCCCACTCAGCAGCCAGCATAGCCTAGAGAAGCCGCAGGCCCTAACTGCCGCTACTCGAAGTCCTCCATGGCTTCCCCAATACATTCCGGGCAGGGTGCTCAGGAACGCTCTGCTGCCTCCTGCCACACTCACCTCCGGGCTGCAAGCCTTCTCTGCAATCCCTTGCTCAGACCACACCGCCTGCCACCTCCCTCTCTGCTTTCCCGACACCTGAGATGCTCTGAGCCCAGAGCTCTGTGGAGCCAGCCATCTCCTTCTCAGGCCTCCGGG